GTGTTCTGGAATTCTTTTTTTTTGGGGGGGGGGGAGGCTAACTCTCTTTGTGCTATTTTACCCTATAAATTTCAGTTGCCTCAGCCTCTTCAAATATTGATCCCTGACCCCTTTGCTCACTGTGACTGTTGGACCCAGTGCCAGAGCCCAATAATTTATGGAATAGAAGAAAGCTGAACAATCATGGTTTTCATCCTTCTCTTTTTCTCTTAGAGGTCACAGCCTTGCTTTCATTGCCAGCTGTTCAGTGTCTAAAACAATTATTTCATATATTTTTTCTGGTTTTATATTACTGATAGTAGAATGCCTAGTCTATTATCATCTATTCTGTCATGACTGTAAGTAGAAATGTTTAAATAATGTTTAGATTTTATAACAATGTAATCTTGAATATTGACCTAACTAAAATTAGGGCAGAAGGTTAAAAAGTAAACTTGAGATTTGTGGCGAGAGAGGTTGAAGGAAAGCTGTCTTGAGCCAGCTGGTATTATGGTGATTAAGATGGCTGGATCCCACATGGCTGACTCTGTAGTTGAGTCCTGGATCCTGCGGCTTGAAAATCATTCTGGATGCATGTGCATGCGTGCCCAAAAATCCCAAGAAGAGAATGGAGGAGAAGGGATTGCAGCATGTCCATCCTCCCTTGGGGCGTTATTTATCACTTTACCTCTCTCTGTCTCTCTCTGCTGAGCATGCTTGACCTATGGTAAAAACCTTTAGGGAAAAAAAAAAAAGAAGAAAAACACACTGGTGTGTATGAATGCTTTGTGTGCCAAAAATCCTGACAGGAGGAATAGAGGAAAAGGGATTGTGGTGGGACCATCTCCTAGGGGAAAGGGGAGTGGGGATGGCGCCTTTTCACTTTCCTTCTTTCTCTCTCCCCCAAAAGGGGTGCACACATCCTCTAACAAAAAAAGAAAAGAACAAATGAACGAAGTCTTCATCTTGCTTAATGTGATTATGTTTGACACTGAAAAAGTCAAGCAGCAGCAGTACCAACGTTATTTAGAGATATGTTAGTAAGTGGCAGAATTACCTGAGTCAGCAGGATTTTTTTCTAGGGACAGGCAACTGTTATGGAGAGAAAGGAAATGGGAGACTGTTCTTTTCCCTATGAAATCTTATAGAACTGATTGACTCAGCATGTACAAGAAAAATATCAGTGAGATGAGGGGGACAAAAGACACAATGGGCAAGTGGAAATCGTGGAAAGGATACTACTGATATAGTCATAATAAAATTCAAGATGGAACATCTTTCAAGAGCAAAAAGGAATTTTTCTTACTGATAAAGTTCCACAAGTTGTGAATCTTTATTTATTTAACAGCAGAGCTTTGAAGTACATTGAGCTGTTATATATACCAGGAAAAATGACATCTATTGGGTGTAGGTGCAGAGACATTAACTTCTATATTTTAGAAATTGACAGACCATTGCCTGTTACTCAATGAAGAATTTGAGTAACATGATTAACAAACATGTGATTGTGTGTGTACATAACTTTATACAAACACAACCGGCGTATTTTCTATCTGCTGGGCCCAGGACTCGAGCTGTATAGGTAAACATGTTAGATTCAGCCACTTAACCACCAGACCCTGGGCCAGCCTCAGATTTCTTAATGTAGGAATCAATTAATATGGAGCTAACATCCTATAGGACCATTGAAGACTTATGCTTGAATCTTTTTTAGGTAACCAGCTCAAGTTAGTTAATGTTAAGGTAAACTTTGAAGAGTAAAACATTTTCTTAAAAAGTAGTAAATTTGGGGCCAGCAGATGGTATAATTGTTATGCTGCTGGACTTGCACATGGTTGACTGTGCTTCGAGACCCAGACCTAGCGGATTGAAACTCAGGCCAGGTGCATGTGCTTGTGAGCCTAAAGGCCCTAGTGGAGAATGGATTGCAGTATGGCCATCCCACCTGAGGGGGGTGATTTCTCACTTTCTGCTGTCTCTCTGGTGAGTGCATGTGCCCTATAGCAAGAATCTCTCTTAAAAAAAAAAAAAAAAAGTAAGTTAAAGTCAAAAGTGGGCATAGAAAAGAGAGAACAGAGTTTTTGGAGACCTAAGGACAGCATTAGTGGAAGTTGAAGCATATAAAGGGAAATCTTATTTTCTTAATTGCTATTTGCATTAGTCTGGGTACACTCACAAGTTTGAGGGATTTTTTTTTTTTTTTTTTGGGCAGTTTTCTCTATAGGTGCGAGTCTTTTTTGAGCAGTTTTTGCTATAGGTGTGTGCGCTTGCCAGAAAGACAGAAAGCAAGAAATTATCCCCCACGGGGATGGCCACGCCGCAGTCCCTCCTCCTCCATTCTTCTCTCGGGATCTTCGGCACACATGTACACACACCTGGCATGAGTTTAAGCCACTGGGTCCAGAACTCGAACCGTGGTTGACCAAATGGGAGTTCAGTGACATAGCCATTATGCCAAATACTGGTCCCTGGTTTTATTTTTTATTGATACATGAAGAGATTTCAATAACTTTATGTTAAAGGCTAGCAAAACTTTGTGCTTCTCTACTTTTCCTTGTTTCCGCTTTTCTTTTTGTTGACACTATTCCTGTTGTCCTTAATCTTGAATTATGATAGGCACAATTTCCCAACCAGTTGTGATTCCCTTTCTGAAATCTCTTTGTATTCAGTTTTAATTATTATTACATTTAATATATACACCATTTTCTACTTATCATTAACAGTATTTCTTAGTAGTAGTTAATAATTACTAACTTCTTGAATACTTACATACATAATACAGTTTTAATCACTTTATAAGCATATTATTATTTTAGTTTGGTACAGGGTACATGCACTTGCCAGAGAGAGACAGAAGGCAGGGAAGTGAGAAATCATCCCCTACAGAAGATGATCATAACACAATCCTTTTTCTCCATTCTCCTCTTGGGATTTTGGGCATGCACACATATGTGCCTGGCGTGATTTTCTAGCTGCTGGCTTTGGGACTTGAATCGCACAGCTGGCTGTGTGGGACCTAGTCCCCTGAACTTACAAGCCACCTGCTGGCCCCAGTGTCATGTCTCTTTTAATTTCACAAAAGCTCTCAGACTAAGCTACTGTGATTTCCATTTTATAAATGAGAAGACAAAGAGAGGTCATGTAAGTTACCTGAGGTGTCTCAGGTAGTAAAAAATAAGCTAGGATTCAAAGCCAATCATTTGAGTCCAGAGCTCTTACTGTAGCCACCAGTAGTCCTGACATTAGCAGTAGGAATAAAAATTACAAAATGCAGAGAAGGAAAGATCAAAGACATACAACAGTGAATTTGCTAGTGTTTATTCAGAAATTACTATGAGTGAGGCAAAATAAGTTGCTTGATTAGTGTTATTTTTACACCAACCTTTAAGGTCATACTCATCTTACATATAAGGATACTGAGGCATAGAGTTAATTGCATAAGTCCACATGGCTAGTAATTGATGAAACTAAATTTGAACTCTTGAGACCACATATTAGTATATCATATTTATTTCCCCATCTATCTTTCTTTTATATTAGGAATATACTACAGAATAAGTATATAACTCCATTAATCTTCTGGCACATAGATTTTCATTAGATATTTATTTATAGTAACGTGTAAAAATCCACAGGACCAGCAGTTGGTGTAATGGCTATGTCATTGGACTTCTAGGTAGTCGAGTCCCGGACCTGGTGGCTTAAACTCACAGTGGGCATATGCGTATGCATGCCCAAAATCCTGAGAGGAGAACAGAAGAAAAGGAATTGCAGTGTGGCCCTTCCCCCTGGGGGAGATTTCTCACTTTCTGTCTCTCTGTCTTTCTCTGTCTTTCTGGCGAGCACACATACCCTATAGCAAAAACTTCTCAAAAAAAAAAAATCCATATTTAGATGAGATAATTAGGTTCTTTGCCTTTTACATAGCACCCACAGTAAACTTAAAATACTGTTGACTGGTAGGTAGTAGGGAATACCAAGATTGGTTTTTTTTTGTCTCTGTTTTCGACCCTTTGGTATTTTTAGCACTTAAAGTGGTCAGTGCTAAGCTCCAAAAAACAAATATTCTTAAAACTTTTATTTAATATTTAACTTTTGTTAAATAAAAAATATTTTTAAGCAATGAAAGCTTTCAGAGAAAGGGAGACTGTAATAACCGTATACCCACCATCCAGAATTGGCTCACAGTTATTCATGTACTTTTTCTGTTTATTTATTTAATGCTGACTTCTTTGTTTTATGCTTAAAGCCATATCCAGAAGACCCTGCAGTTTATAAACCACTCTCCCAGGAAGAACTGCAAAGGATAAAAAATGAGAAGAAACAGAAACAAAATGAGAGAAAACAGAAAATATCAGAAAATCGCAAACATTTGGCTAGTGTACGGGTTGTGCAAAAAAACCTCGTCTTTGTTGTAGGTCTATCTCAGCGCCTAGCAGACCCAGAGGTAAGTCTTCATTTATTTTATCAACTTGAATTTTTTTTGTTTGCTTATCTTATTTAGATGTAACAGTGACTCTGCTCAACTGAATTTCTCTGAAAGCATTAAAACTTAAAATCAGAAATGACATTTTAATAATAACTAAGAAACCAATGACCAGTTAAGAAGTTAGGCAAGTATCTTAATCTTTCTTGGCCTCAGTTTCTTCATTTGTGAAACTGAGGAGGTGTAGTACATTTTTAAAGTCCTCTTTAGTGCTAATAGTTGTGAAAATTGGATAATGATTCTATTTTCTTTATAAAGCTAACATGCGACATGAATAGTCTTTTTTTTTTTTTCCTCTTTTCAGTAGGACCAGCAATGGTGATGCAGTTATTTGAACCCACTAGAGATCTTAATAATTTGTATTTTTTATTCTGTCCTTGTAGTAATACTTGGTTTCCAGAACCACAGCTATTCTGGATCATCATTAATTACTTATTCTAAGCCAGTTTGAGAGAAAGAAGGAGAATCTATTGAAGTGAAATAAAGGACCAAGTTTTTTGTTACTTGTTTGGGGTCTGGGGAGATGCTAACCTTTTGTTTACTACCTCTTTTTCTCTTCTTCTGTCATCAGCCCTTTAAGAATAATGTTGAATTTATACTTTCCTTGAGGCCTTTGTATACACATCTACTAATTTTTAGTTGCTGAAACAGCATGAGTTGCTGACTAAATTGTTGGGAAGGCATCTAGAAGATGTTTGACAGCCAGAGTGTTTACTTCAGTGGGAGAGAGTTGGGACTGGGAGATCTTCCAGAAGTACTACTTGAGGAGGTTTGAAGTAATGACCATCATGGAACCAATCAGGCCGGATTGTGGTGAATGTGCTTAAGAAAGTAGGAATCCTCAGACTTGGCCACGTAGGGAAGGCACCAGAAGGAGGAACTTTAGGAAGTCTATGTCTGCTTTATAAAAAATTATTGGTTTTTTTAGTGAGATTTTTGCTGTCTGGTGCATGTGCTTGCCAGAGAGAGACAGAAAGCAAGAAATCACCCCCAAGGGAGGATGACCATACCACATCCCCCTCTCCTGCATTCTCCTCCTGGGATTTGCGGCGTGTATGCGCTTGTGCCTGGTGTGAGTTCTAAGCCACCAGCTCTGGGACTTAAACCGTGGTCAATTATGTGGGAGTCCAGTGATGTCACCATTATGCCATCTGGTGGTTCCTATATCTACTTCTGTAAAAATTACTTTAGAGAAGATATTTCTTTTTTTTTTTTTTTTGAGAGAGGTTTTCGCTATAGGGCACATGTGCTCGCCAGACAGAGAGAGACATAGAGACAGAAAGTGAGAAATCACCCCCCAGGGGGGTTGGTCATGCCGCAATCCCTTCTCCTCCATTCTCCTCTCGGGATCTTGGGCATGCACGCACACGTGCCCGGCGTGAGTTTTAAGCCACCGGGTCCGGGACGCAAACCGTGGTTGACTACATGGAAGTCCAGCGACATAGCCATTGCGCCAACTGCTGGTTCCCAAGAAGATATTTCTTGATGATGAGTTTACTATGCGTTTAGGCTATGGAGAGCTGCATAATCAATAGAGGAGAAATCAGGGAGACCTTACTAAGAAGCATCTATCATTAGCAGTAAACATGAAGGCAGCTCAGGAATTATTAGGCCCTTAGTCCAGAGTTGCTGGCATTAGTGGATCATGTGATACTCAGGAAGCCAGGTTCTTTCAAAGCCAAAGGGATAGGTCTAAGGTTCACACAAAAAAAGCTGCTTCAATATGTCAAGCTCATTTTAGGCCTAATACTCAGCCTCAGCCGCCAGTTTTCCCTTTGCCTAAGGTAGTGCTTACACCCCAGGCAGACAGAAACCCATCTCACTGTGACTGTTACCTTGAACATTACCACTGCTGTGCACTAACCCTTCTCTCTTCCTCTTTGTTTCCTCTTTAAAAAAAAAAAATTGCTATAGGGTACATGCACATGCCAGAGGCAGAAAGAGACAGAGAGAGTAAGTGGGAAAGCACCCCACAAAGGGAACGGCCATGCCACAATCCCTTCTACTCCATTCTCCTCTGGGGATTATGGTATACATGCATATGCATTTGGCATAAATTTTCAGGCTGCATGGTCCGAGACTTGAACCATATAGTTGCCCTTGTAGGATCCAGCCTCCTTAACCTCTACACCACCTGCTAGCTGCTATCATCCTCTTTCAAGTCTGTATTCTTTAATTAATTTATTTATTTTAATTTGACCAAAGAGAGACAGAGTGAGAGAGAGAGAAGGAAAGTGAGAAAGCAGGCCACCAGGTCCAGGACATAAATCATGGTTGGCTATGTGGGAGTCCAGTGCCCATAGCCACCATGCCACCTGCCAGCCCCTGCAACTCTGTATTCTTTCTAACAGCAGGGCACTTTTTTTTAACCTCTACTAACTTTATTGATTAAACTCTTCTTTGGCTTTTTCAAAACTGCTGCTCCAGTAAACTAATGGTTTATAGTTCTTACAGCCATTCTCTTATCTACTCATTCATCCATCTAATTACCAAGTTGTTGTTGGTGTGTGTGTGTGTGTGTGTGTGTGTGTGTAGTAGTGATTATGAATACTTGACTAATACATATTCCCAAAAACTATGTATAGCAAGATGTTTTAGTCATTAGACATGCCATTGAACATTTATTTCTTTCACATTGCCGTTTATGTTCTATTTTAGTACTAAAACTGGCCACTCTGAAGTAGGTACATGACATTGAGTGTATAGATAATGTGCTGATGTGCAGCGTGCATTGTCTGTTCTCTGTGCCCTTTACTTTATTCACTAGGGGACAATTTTTATTTTAGGAGGTTTTTGGCCTTAGGGTGCGTGTGCTTGCAGGAGAGAGAGACAGACAGACAGAGACAGAGGGAAGGTGAGAAATTACCTTCCAGTGGGGACGGCCACACCACAATCTCTTCTCTTCCATTCTCCTCCTGGATCTTGGGCACGCATGCACGTGCATCCGGTGTGATTTTTAAGCCACCAGGTTCAGGACTCGAACTATGATCAGCCAATTGGGAGTCCAGAGATGTAACTGCTATGCCATCTGCTGGCCCCCAAAGTACTACTTTTATTCAGGCAGAATTTGGAGTCTTCGAGTTAATAGGGAAAGTTTAAATTGATTGAATTTCTCTTGCCTAGGTATTCTGTTTCTGTACTTTTGTTTTGTTTTGTTTTGTTTGGGTTTTTGACATAGAGTGCATGTACTTGCTGGAAAGAGAGAGCAGGAAAGTGAGAAATCAACCCCAAGGGGGTGTGGCCATGCCACGATCCCTTCTCCTCCATTATCCTGTCTGGATTTTGGGCACATGCATTCATGTGCCTGGCATGAGTTTCAAGCCATTGGCTCTGGAACTTGAACCACGGTCAGCCATGTAGGAGCCCAGCATCTTAACTTCCACACCTGCCACTTGCTGGCTTGAGCATCCTATTTCTTATCAATCACTGACTATTTGCTAATATTTTGAGGCCCACAGGGGTTACATATCCATTTTCTTTTTGTTCAATGTTAAGATAGTTCTTTTTTTTTTTTTTTTTTTTTGCCAGAGGGCATGTGTGTTACACAGACATGAGAGATAGAGTACCCCCCCTACACCCACACACACAGTTTGCACGGTCATGCCATAATTCTTTTCCCTCTATTTCTCCATCCCTTCAGGAATTGGGACATACATGCACATGTGCCTGGAATCTTTTTCAAGCTGCTGGAAGCTGGGATTTCAGCCATGGTTGGTCATGTGGGATCCAGCTTTCTGTGCGTGGCAGTTAACGGCTATGCTATGAACCATTCCCAGTTCAGGTTTTTAATAGATATTTAAACATCCATAGTTTCCTAGACACTCTATAAGACACTGAGCATGCACTGATAAAACAACTTGGTACCTGCTACCATGACTCAGCTACTGAGTCAGCCTGACAGTCAGTGCTGGGCCCGAGACTGAACAACTGGACTGGGGAAGAGGATCATCTGCATGAACATACTTTGTTGGGAGTACCCATCTCTCTCTTTTGCCCTCTTTCATGAATGAAATAAATAAAGCTGGGAACAGTGGCAAGTACCTGTAATCCCAGCTTCTTAGGCGTCTGAGACTGGAGGATCAAAAGTTCAAAACCAGCCTGGACAACCTAGCAAGACTCTGTATCTAAAAATAAATAAATAAAACTTAAATAAAAATAAAAAAAGATAGTACCTATTTTTTTCCAGGAGTAACAGTAGAGTAGGAGAAGTGCTGTGTGCTCTGGAGGCACAAAGGATAGCTCCTGACCTTGAGGGTAGGTATGTATCCCTCTGCTATCTTTGGAGTAAAGTGCTTCTGGCACAGGAACTGTCCAGATGCTTCTGGGTGAGAAAGAGATTGATCTGCTAGTGAGTTATTTGTCTGGAAGATTAGAATACAATGGTGAGAGCTAAGATTGGCAAGGTAAGTAGAAAAGGATCATGAAAGGCTTTCTAACTGTGCTAAGGCTTTTTTATGCTTTATCCTTAAGGCAGTGGGAAGCTGTTAAATGTTCTTGAGAACAGAGTGAAATGAATAGATTTATGCTTTGAAAATGCCATGCTGGCGGCATGGACTTATCAGCATAATTATATGTTAGTCTCATGTAAAGGTATTGACCAGAGACTGTTTTTATGGACAAATGGTCATCAGCTTTGTGGGTCTCAATTACCCACATTTAATCATTTAAAAAAATTTTTTTTTTATTTTTTCAATAATTATTTTATTTAACTGTATTTACTTATTTTAATTTGACCAGAGAGGGGGGGAGTTAGGGAGTGAGTGAGTGAGAGAGAGAGAAAGTGAGAAAGCAAGCCGCAAGGTCCAGGACTAGAAACGCAGTTGGCGTGTGGAAGTACAGTGTCCTTAACCACCATGCTACCTGCTGGCCCCCAGTACCCACTTTTAAATAACTAATATAACACCTCTTGACTTTCTCAAAATGACTTCTTAATAATATAATATTTGTACATCCATAATTTGAAAAAATAGCAAAGGAAAGATAAAATGAAGTTATAAGAATACTATTTTTATCAGTAAAAGCTTGAGCATTGCTACTCTAAAGCCTTGCTCTTCAAGGTGTGGTGTCTGGACCAGTGGCATTATTGTGACAGGAAGCTTATTATATGAACTCTCAGGCCCTACCTCAGACCTGTGGAGTCTCAGTCTGCATTTGTATGCATTTTCAGGTTCTTCATTTGATGCTACATATAATAAAGTAATAAAATGCACCTATTTGTAGAATCACAGAATGTGACAACTACAAATGCAGATTGTTGCAGGTCTGTGTATCAGTAACTTCAGGCATCACAAAATGCAATCATGAGATTTTCTGAAACAGCTCTTAGTAAAATTTCAAATGAAATTTATAATATATAATAAATTATATATTATTTGCTTCCCTATAATTCCGTGTCGGCTGAAATTGTGCAAAATATTTATGTTTATATGTAATGTGGGATTTTTTTTAGTTCCCTCTGTTATATGAGTGCTCCAGGAATCAGCTATATGAGTGCTCTGTCGGGTGTTCAGAAGTTGTGCAGGAGGATTTTTTGTTGTGCAGGGCTAACAGTCTTGTAAGACAGTCCTGGCTCCCGTCCACTTAATTCCAGTAGTGTCTCCCAGTTACTTGACAGTCTCCTAATTAAAAGTTTCTCCATGCATTTCCAAACTGCACTCTTGAGGACTTCCTTCACTGAGAACTGCTGCCATAAATGTCGAAGTGATGAGAAATGCTGATGCGGGATAGACTGACCAGTGTGAGCTCTTTGAGGCAGGAATTTTATCTGTGAAGCCATTGGCTGAGTTGCTATGCATCCAGCTGAAATATTGGATACAGTTCCAAATTCTGCTGGCCTGAAAGCTTTTTCATACTTTTGTTTTTTACCCCTAACCTTGAGACTTTGCTATAAACAACCTTAGGGTCATTGTATCAACCACCATCATAAACCTTAGGGGATTTGGTTGGAAAAGACAGAAAATCAGTGTAATCCCCTCACCTTCTTTCATTATAATCAGCTACAGTGAGGCCAACAGGTGGCATGGTGGTTAAGGTGCTATATACCAACATGGTCGACCATAGTTCAAGTTCCAAACCCAGCAGCTTAAAAATCACAACAAATAGGGACCAGCAGATGGTGTAATAATGGTTATGTCACTAGACTCCAACGTAGTCAATTGCAATTCAAGTCCTGGACCCCGTGACTTAAAACTCACGCCGGGTGTGTGTGCACGTGTGTGTGCCCAAAATCCCAAGAGGAGAGTAGTGGAGGAGGGATTGAGGCGTGGCCATCCCCCCTGGGAGATAATTTCTTGCTTTCTTTTTCTTTCTCTTTCTGATGAGCATGTACACTCTATAGCAAAAACCTCTAAAAAAAATAAAAATAAAAACAAAAAGTTACAAGTGAATGTATAAATAAATAAGTTTTTAAAAATCAGCTGTAGCAAACATAACAACCCTGTATTTATAAGGACGTAAAATTAAATATGAGATTAATTGTATAAATTAAGTTGAAGACTGTTAAGAATCAATAATATACCAGCCATAGGTTATTTTTATTTTTTTTGAATAAACACCTTTATTACAGAGTGAAGATAGAAAGGTTTATTTGCCTTTCCGGGCTTCGATTTTCCTCAGGTAGAACTCCAGCTCCTTGCCCTCTAACACATAGCCATCGGCTCGGCCACACTGGCCTGGTCTGGATGCAATGCAGGCAAGCAGCTTGCCCTGCTGGAACTGCTCCTCCTGCAGTCTGCTGACTTTGGCATTCTTCTTCCTTTCATTGTATTTCTTCTGAATTTTCTTTGATCGCTTTTTATTTAAAATCTCTTCTTCCTCAGGAGTTAGCTTGGCTCCCTTCTTGCAGCCCAGGGGCAGTGCATAATGGGACTCGTACCACTGCCGGTATGGTGTGCTGTCAATGAGCACGATGCAGTTCTTCACCAGGGTCTTGGTGCACACTAGCTCATTATTGGATGAATTGTAGACAATATCGATGATCCTTGTTTTGCGTGTACAACATTCTGAGCCCCGAGAAAAGTTCCCCATGTCCAGCCTCAGGGCGCAGTATTTCTTGTTACCTCCCCGCACACGGGCTGTGTGTATGCGGTGGGGGCCAATCTTAGTGTTGGCAGCGGGGCGTCCCAGCTCATACTTCCGCTTCTTATGGTAGGGCTTTCTCTTGCCCCCGGTCTTGCAGGGCTTGTACCAGTTGTCCCGAGAGATACCCATCACTCGGCATTGGCTGGCAAGAGCCCAACCATAGGTTATTTTGTGAAGCTTTGATGCTATCAAATGCAGATTATTTGTTAAATCCCAACATGTGAGAGTATTATCAATTTTTTTTTTTTTTGGAGAGATTTTTGCTATAGGGCGCGTGTGCTCGCCTGAAAGACAGAGACAGACAGAGAGACAAAGTGAGAAATCACCCCCAGTGGGGATGGCCATGCCGCAATCCCTTCTCCTCCTTTCTCCTCTCTGGATCTTGGGCATGTAAGCACACGCACCTGGTGTGAGTTTAAGCCACTGGGTCCGGGACTCAAACTGCGGTCGACTATGTGGGAGTCCAGCGACATAACCATTATGCCAACTGCTGGTCCCGAGTATTACCAAATTTGAGTGGAAAGAGAGGAATGTGTTATACACACCTGAATAGGTACATGCAGAGAACATTCATTGAGAGAGAATTTACTATTTGAAGAGATTATAAAAACAGTAGGAATATAAGGAAATTCCAGGAAAGCAACGAGTTTTAATTTTGAGGTGGTCACAAGTCATGGGAAAGGTTTTAGTGTCAAGTTATATACTGGTCAAAAAAACAAGTTTAAGTAAACTTGAAAAAGAAGCTAAAAGAATGAATACAGACAGCGATCTCAAGGTGAGGGAAATGAGATGACTATAACAACCGAAGATTAACCAGGAAATAGAGAAAGAAACAAATATATTTCTTCCTGGGGTGTGTTTACCAGGAAAAAAGAAAGACAGAAACCAAAAACACTGATGAGATAGTTGAGAAGTGATAAAATTGATTGACATAAGAGTCTGTGTAAATAATGATAAATCATGGGGCCAGTAGGTAGAGTGGTGTGGTTAAGGCACTGGACTCCCACATCGTTGACCATGGTTTGAGTCCCAGATGTGGTAGCTTCCTTTCTCACTTTCTCACTCTCTCTGTCTCTCTCTGGTGAGCACATATATGCCCTATAGCAAATTAAAATAATAATAATAAATTTAAATAATTCTTAAAAGGAAAAAAGCCTGATGAATCATAAAGCACTGACAATTGAGGGGCTGTCTGTTATGTTTGGAATTTATGATTTATAAATGATGTTTTATTATATATTAAATAAATATATATGAGAGATTTGGAAGTAAAGACTGTTTCTCCTTGTGTCTGTTCTTTTGTTAATAGAGAACTTTGGTCATTGAGAATTAGGGTTACCTATTAGTGACATTGTAGTTAAGATCTTTAATCTGTTTTATGTTTAATACTGTGAAAATAAGCTCCCATAGATGATTGATGCAGATATTAGAACATAGTAAATAATACCAGACTTAGTGAATCTCAGTTTCTGTTCAGGGGGTCAGTAAAGAATGGCTTTTAGACTCTCTTGATTTCCTGTGGGTTAGCTACATGAGTTGTAATTAGGAATTAGTTACATTGATTAGAAGACTTAAAAATTTACTTTTTTTCTTTCACTGAGACTGATGGTGAATGTCCCCATTTTAGAATAAAGTTGATGAAATTGGGGACAGTTTATACCTTATTTCTTCTTCTTTTATAGGTTTTAAAACGACCAGAATATTTTGGGAAGTTTGGTAAAATACATAAAGTTGTCATCAATAATAGCACATCATATGCAGGCTCACAGGTAACTAATAATAGAGATTTTTGTCTTTTTTCTGGTCTGGGCTAGATCTATGCTGTTCAAAAGGAAAATTGGTTTTCTGTGATTAGAAAGCTTGAGGGTCAGAAACTTAAGCAAAGACACTCTTTTTGGAGGAGTGGGAAAATTTTGGGCTCTCATTTGACACTCCCAAGACTTAACAATGAATTGATAGTAATAAGAGGGAAAGAATAAAAAGAGGCTTAGTGATGGGATGAAAGGTGGAGGTTGAGCCTGTTATCATGCAGTCTGATAAATAATTAGATAACGATTTCTAATGAGTAACGCTTCCAGATACTGAAAAGTAAGTAGAACATTTTTGTTATGCTGGTATCAGTAGATAGAATACGGAGATTGCATTTATTTTTGAAAGGATATGATATGTAACGCTTCCAGATACTGAAAAGTAAGTAGAACATTTTTGTTATGCTGGTATCAGTAGATAGAATACGGAGATTGCATTTATTTTTGAAAGGATATAATTTGACACATTGTGTTTAAATCTCGTCGTTTTTTTTTTAATCTAAATTTGAAATTGTCTTTGTAACCTTGGCAAGCATATTAAAAAACAAATGGTAAGCCAAAGAT